AATTTCCCTATTTTCTTTTTAATTCCTCCCGGGTGTGCGGTCACGCGTTTGCTCTCATTTGCTGTGAATGAGAGCAGCGAGCTTCCACGTGGCCGCATGTCCAGGTGCCAAAGGTATATCATCTTCTCTCGAAGATGATAACCAGGTATCAATTCAAGCGCAAAACATAGCCTCTGAATTGATTCAAGACCGTTTCGCATTTTACCTTCACGAGGTTGCACCTGTTTCATACAGAATATGCTACGGATCTCGTTTTGATCCACTTAATTTATCATTCGCTGGTTTATCTATGGGATTAAAATTAAATTATATATTAAAAAATTATCAATTATATACATACCCATACACATGTTTCGCACTGGAAAGAAGCCTCTCGGGTCTCCCGACAGAAGTTTTTGTTCTCAATAACTGTATACCTTATCCATATGTATCTATATTATAGATCATTTGAACAATTCTACGCTCGAATTTTTCATTTCTAGAAAACAACCAAATTATACAAACAAATATGGCGCATCGACAAAGTTGAATGACGATTGCCAAAATTCGCTAAAAAGTTCGGAATTTTGATATTGTGGGGACTATGGTTGTCGGGATTATGGTTGTCGAAATTTTAACACTGTCGGGATTTCGATATAAATCCAATCAATTGTATAGGCAACACAAAATACAAGACATAATTGAGGATAGAAGAACTTTTGACAGAGGGTATAACACACGTGACAACATACACGTAAATATAACCTCAATCTTTCAAGCATTGCAGTAAGCAAGAGCAGCAGTGCCAGTAATAACTAGTAGTAAAAGTAACACATAAGTTTAAGTAAAAAAAAATGAATCGTGGTAATAACTTTAGAGGAAACAGAAGAGGAGGCAGAGGAAGAGGACGTGGTGGTTTTCGTGGTAGAGGTCGTGGAGGTAATAGAGAGAAAGGTGGATTCCAATCTAACTTCCACATACAGCCTGAGAAACTTTGCGAAACAGAAGCTTGCATTACTGAATATATTAGCAGTTGTGAAGGTTTTTCAGGTGTACTTAAGTCATGTTATTCTGATTTCCATGTGAATGAAATTAACTTGAACAAAGAGGTTGGTGTAATTACAAACCAACAGATTCCAGAAGCTTTCAAGCTGAAGAAACTGGAGAAACCACCAACAGAAACTCCTATGGCACAGATAAGTCAGGAGAAATGGGATGCTATTTTGGTTATGCTTGAGTCCAAAGACGAAGTCAAAGTGGAACTTGATGTGACAGAATTTACTAAAGATCAACGAAGTGAAGTGCATCAACAGCTGAAAGATATATTCAGAGAGAAAATAGTAAGCTCAACAGTAGTAGATGGAGAATCCAAAACTATTCAGTTACAGAAATTTTCTAAAAATGGTAAGCTATATAACTTTAACCATATGTTGGAAAGTATGTCATATAATTTTATTTGTTTATTGTTTTAGCAAGTATGAGGAATCAAAGTGTTCAGTGGCCAAAAGAGTGTGGTGAATATGTTCACTTTTTATTAAGTAAAGAGAATTTGGATACAATGGATGCTGTAATGAAATTGGGCAATGTGTTGCACATAAAGAGTTCAGCATTTAATTATGCAGGGGTAAAAGACAGGAGAGCAAAAACCACTCAGTGGCTTAGTTTAAGGAAAGTTGAACCATGGAAGCTTTTATTCAAGACAAAATGTTACAAAAATATGCATGTGGGAAACATAACATTCAAAGATAAACCCCTAAAGCTTGGTCAGCTTTGGGGCAACAGATTCAAAATAGCTTTAAGAAATGTTACTGCTGATGAGACACTTATAAATACAGCTTTAGAATCTCTGAAAGAAAAAGGTTTCATTAACTACTATGGTTTGCAACGTTTTGGAAATGATAAGGAAGTGCCAACTTTTAAGATTGGCATCAAACTCTTGCAGGGAAACTTTAAGGAAGCTGTCAACTTAATTTTGAAGCCTAAGAAATGTGAGAATCCCACTTTAGATATAACACTTGCCAAAATTATTTATGAGGAATCTGGAAATGCGAAAAAAGCTTGTGAAAAATTGAACAGACATACTTCATGCATTGAATCCACATTATTACAAGCACTAGCCAAACATGCATCAACAGATTATGTAACTGCTCTTGAAGCTGTAAGTATTAGTATTTTTTTTACGTTTAAATATTTATAATTATGGTTTATAGGTTCCTAGAAATACAAGACTATTGTACATTCATTCCTATCAAAGTTTGGTTTGGAATGAAGTTGTCTCGAAAAGGATCAAACAGTTTGGTTTACTGCCAATCGTTGGAGATTTAGTGTTAATTGAAGAAGATAATGCTGATCAAATGGAAACTAATTCTACAGTGGAATCTAATTGTAATGAACAAAGTAAAGATAAGGAAGAACTTGGTAAGTAATATTGAAACTACTTCAACACCATAAAAACTAATTTCATTTATAGAAAACAAAACAGATAAATCTGAAAAGGAATCTATGAACACTGAGACTGCCACTGACTTGAATGCTGAAGAAAAGATTAATGAAACTGGTAATGAAACTAAGAATGAAACGTTTTATGCAATAACTTACTTATTACCTTTTATTATTTTAGAGACCATTGTTGCTGAAAACGAAGAGACTGAAGGTAGTATTTTCAATATAATATTTATTTTATTAACTAACTTATAAAATTATTATAGAAATGACTGACAATCCACCAAAGGTGAAAATTTTAACAGAGGACGATTTAAAGAATTATACAATTTTTGATATTGTGCTACCACTGCCAGGGCATAATGTTATTTATCCCAATAATGAAATTAAAAAGATATATGAAGATATTTTAGCTAGGCACGGTTTTAGACTTGAGATGCCCAAACAGAAAGTCAAGTAATAATAATCACACTATTATATTGATTAAGAAATAATACAATTATTATGTTATAGATCATATTCACTAAGTGGCAACTATAGAAAACTAATAGAGTTACCACAAGATTTAGAATGGAAGTGTATAAAGTATAATCAACCAAGAGATCTTTTAATAAGATCTGATTTTGAAGAGATGATTAAAATTAAAGAACCCGAAGATCCTAAAGGTATACAAATATTTTATAATTGATCTATACTAATATTGTTTTTGTTTTAGATGGAAAATTTAATAGTCTTGTAGTTAAATTTAATCTGGTATCTTCGTCTTATGCAACAATGGCATTGAGGGAAATCCTAAAAATTGATACATCGACACAGACTCACATAAAGTTGAATAAATATCACGAGACTCCTAATACAGAGCCCGCGAAAGAAGTCACCAGTAACAGTTTGTTAACTGACAAAGACAAATTTGAAGCTTTTAAGATGGCCGTTTTCGGAGATAACGAGGTCGAGGATGAAGAGAATTCCAGTAAAAGAAAGATCGACGAAGTTGAGACCGTTGTTTTCAAGAAGATGAAGGTCGAGGATGAAAAGAAAAAGGATGAAGGCATCAAGACTCAGGCGTCTTTGGTGTAATGTAACTTTTCATGAGCCTTTAAGTTACACTGAAGTGCAAACTTCTTCTTGCAAACGTCGCATTCGTACTGTTTCTCACCTACAAATAAGTTTCCGATTATTTGATTTTTATTTACATGTTTTTATCTTAAATAATATTGTTTGTTCATACCTGTGTGTATGAAATAATGATTTTTCAAATTGTTTGGTTTGCTGAATCCTCGGTAGCATGTGGGACATCGAAAAGGCCAAGAATTTGTGTGCAAATACATGTGGGATCGGAGATCTCCGGGCGTCGGGAACGATTTTGGGCAGACATCACATTTGTGCGGCTTATTCTGTTATATTATATACTTTAACTGTAATATTATATGTTTACTAGAGATCTCAAACTTACGGCTCTCTTATTTTCTTATAGTATTTTTAAGACTTTGCAAAGTCTCAGATTATTTTAAGCATTTGTTTTATACAAATTTATTACCCGTTGATACTAAGTTTGAGTCTCAATTTATATTATATTTTATAAATTATTAGAACATATTGGAGAAACGAAAGACTTTCATTACTGTTTACCTTTGTATGTGTCATTTTGTGGTAGTAGAGATTCGAGCTGGCTGTAAAACATTTGCCGCAAAGTGGACAAACGTGCGGCTTTAAACCAATATGAATTCTGCGATGGGTGTTTAATGAACTCGACGTAGAGAAGCCCTTTTTACATATATCGCAAATGTGTGGTTTTTCTCCTGAAATTTGTATTCTCTTCGTATGTTTAAAGTATATAAAAAATAAATAATTTACCGGTGTGGGTGCGAATGTGTCTCTTCAGGAGCGACGGCCTATCAAATGCCTTCTTGCAGTAGACGCACTTGAGATCCGGTTTGCGCTGACCGTTTCCGGTCTTCCGGAGAGACAGGTCGAGTGGCGTGTCCATAGGTTTTCATACTGAATTTAAAAATTTGCATATCGCATTTTATATAACGAATATCCATCCCCCACTTGATATCGTTCTGCTTGCAATAAAAGATATAAAAGATTTCTATAGCGCGACGAAAGTCTGCAGGGGGTAGTTCATTGGGGGTATGTCACACAGGTAATAAATCTAATTTCGCCAATAACATCGGCACGATCGATATGTGAAAAAAAACTAATTGCAATTCAACGAAAGTGATATAAAATCAAATATTTAATGTACACGGCTTAGTTTAATTGTGGTTTACGATAAAAAGGCTTTAATTAGTGCAATCATTGTAAATACAAGCAGTGTAAATATATTTTTTTTAAGGAAAAATGTATTCGAAACGATCATTTATCATTTTTATCTATTGTTGAAGAAGCTCTTTCAACTGTCTCTGCAACGCTGTATGATTAATGAAATTCCAATTTCCTTGTACATTTCATGTAAATAAACAGATCATTTTTCGATTTAGCAAAGTAATGTCGCATTGCTTACAACCTGTAAATTGCTAAATTTGTGACATTTATTCTTACATCTTTTACAATTAATAAATATCACAGATCGACCAATAAATTGTTTAATAACGAAAATTAATTGGCTGTAGAATCAACTTTTATTGGTTTATGTTTTATTGCAAGTAATTTTAAATTAGTAATTTCAGTACTAAATATTTATTTTCTTTGTCATTTAATCGTCTTCTAATTCCGTATCTGTTTGCAAAGACAAAATATATTGTGTTACAAAATGATTAAAATTGGCAGTGCGTTTAGAAAATTAATAAGTTTATAAAAAAATATTGACATCAATAATTATTTCATATGCGGTTCTTCAGTTACATCTTGGGATTATTATGAAACTACATTCAAATTTGTATGAGTAGGGTATTTTTTTTAAAATATTTATTGAATCACCCTGTATATGCCATTGCTATATGTATATAGAGTTGCCTAAGTAAATAACGCAATCTTTACATAGGAATTGTAGATCGGTTCCACCATCGATGGAACAACTCTGGTTGCATAATATCATACATGCACCTAGTATTATTGCACGTATGTTTATGTTAGCGGAAATCTTTACAATTTCAGCATTCTATACGAGTCTATATCGCAAACCCGACAACTGAAATCCCGACAATATCAAAATATCGACAAACATAATACCGACTGTATCAGAATCTCCACATTCATAATCCCGACAAACATAATCTCGACTATATCGAAAATTTTTACAATAATATTTTTAAATTATTTCGGAGCGTAGTCACCTTGTTCTACACTTTTATTATTAATAACAATAAATTATTATTAATTAATTTGATTTTGTTGAATTATTCATAATAAACCTTAACATTGTGAAATAATCTCAAATACAATTAGATTATAAAAGTTACTACGCTCCGGAATAATTTAATTTTAATCTCTTAATGTAGATATTTATTAATGAAAATTTCCAAAATTTCCGGATTTTTACTCGTTTAGTGAAACATATTAAAAAATACACATAATATGTTTACACAAGTTTTAAAAATGATGTAGAAGGCGCGCAATCCGGGACTTCTCTTCTCATCGTCACTCGTTATGCGAAACGTCGCTTGTTAAGCGAGGTTCCACTGTATATAATAATTCCACAATTTCTGAAAATTATGAAATTTTATAATTTTTTGATAGAAAGACTTTGTATATTATGTACATTATTATATTATAATTTTGCCAAACAGATATTTCGTTATTTATATTTTTTATGATTAATAATAATAATAACATAAATTTATTCCATACATAAAAAATAATATGTTTTGTAGCCAATTACTGCAACTTTCTGTCTTATTTATAAACAAACATATTTATTATAATATAAAGATGCTCTTGTATATTTCTTTGTGTGATAGGTACAGGTAATAGCGTTATTAAAAATGCATTTGTGAATATTCAATAAAGATTACACAGATTTTCCGATAACGGAGAGCGATTTAGCGCAGGCCCCTTCTCATTCAAGTCTGTGTCCAATATGCATAGCGTATCTGATTCGAACCGACACTATAATATGCCCAATCTTTGGACTACCAGTCGACCATAAAATAATGTCCTATAATCGTTGCTTAATCCCCACGATAACGAATACGAATCTATTCAAGCTCAGTTCTAATCCTTTAATAATAATAATACCAACGAGAAATATAAAATTATTTTTTCAACATATTTAAAAAATAATATAACAATTATTATAAAGTAATATTTTTTTAAAATTTATTTATTTACAGTTTATACATTAACATTTTTCATTCTGTATTTATTCACTACAGCAGTTCTTCGGGTTTCCTGGTATTGAGAGCGAGCTGCTTGTATCCTTTTACTTTTTTAGAAATTCTACCAATTTGATTTAAAATAATATAGTTTTTGTTTCTTCCTTTACTTCAGTTGTATAATTTCACCCGTTTTGTAATTATACAAATGTTTAGCGCATCCGTTAATTTGCATATTTGTTTCAATATTACCGATAATTATTTTATAATTAATAATATAGTTAATCCCAAATGTTGTTGACTTGACTGAACATAAGAAAAACGAGCAAATGAGCGACGTTTCGCCTGTTACATCATTTTTAAAATCCGGAAATTTTGGAACGGATTAAACTCGTTAATCTGTATTCAAAAGTAGATTACGTCTTAAATTACTATTAAAAATGATATCAATTAAAAAAAAACGTATGTTAGATGTGACTTAAGAAGTTGTATTATTTATGATTGTAAATCTAGTAACAAGAATTAATTAGTTAATTTTAGATATAGATTAGTATATTTTAAGAATATGCAAATCGATTAAAGAAATATGGGTGAAATTTTTTAGTATACAAAATTTGAACACTAATAATGATGAATAACTTTATATTATGTTTTGTACGGTTGTTGTTTGTGTGTAGAAATGGTTGAAAGAGTTACGTCTTAAATTGATGCATTGTCTGTGTTTGCGTTGAAGTGTTGTTGCCTGGATAAGTCGCGGTTTATTATTTTAACGTGAACGCAACAGTAAGTAAAATAATATTTGTTCAATTTTATGGTTAGTGTTTTTATCGGTGGCGGTGGTGTTGAAGTGGACGGCCAATAGGGATTGTTGGCTCCCTATTTGGGTGAAGCGGAGGGGCCGGGACCCGGGCCCGGACCCCGGGGTGTGTTCTATATAACCAGCCACCCTTTTACCAAGAGACCAGTTGCAAAAAGCACCTCCACGCACCAAGAACTCCACCACATGAATGCAGTGATCCGAAAAAAAACAAGAAATTTAACACGTAAATTATTTATTTTGTTTGCAATTAATATTCGTGATTTGTGAGGAAAGGAGAAATGGCCCTAGTCCAGCAAACTTACGAGATGTCCTACGACGATAGCTCGGATTCGGGCTTCGAAATGTCTTTTAAATCGGAGACGACGGATTACAGGGATGACCGCAGTGATTACATCGAGTACGACATCGATGGCTACGACAGCAGGAACGTGCTGAACACCCCGCAGAAGCAGCAGTTGTACGAGAAATTCGCAAGTGCCTTTCACAAGAGTGCAAGTGGTGAATTCGAGAGGGACTCGATCCAAGTGACTCCACCGAATTGGAACCAGAATTACCATCATCACGTCGCTAAACCGAGCCACGTTAGTAGGGACTTGTTCAACGGAAAATGTTCGAGCGAAGAAGATTTTTGCAATTCGATCGTGCCGCTGGTAACATCGACGCCCGTCAAGGATGAGAAACCGAAGAGGCGTTACGCCACCGGCAGGAATCGAGTGACTCGAGCGAAAAGTCCGTCGCAGATAATGAAGATCAAGAAGACGAGAAGATTGAAAGCGAACGATCGTGAAAGGAACAGGATGCACATGCTGAACGAAGCTCTGGATAAGCTCAGGTGTGTTCTTCCGGCTTTTCCAGAAGACACGAAGTTAACTAAGATCGAGACGCTGCGCTTTGCTCACAACTATATCTACGCGCTCAGCGAGGCCGCCAACGACGTCGGGAAATATAATTGCCGAAATAGTGATAGTATCCTAGTGCAGGTCGGAAACGTGACTGTTTCCATCAACAAAGACGGCAACAAAATAACGCAGAGTAACAATCAGCAAGAACCTTACAGCAGCAACGCCGTCGTCACCAGCGGCAGCATAACCAACGCCAGTTTCATGCAAGACTACAATACGCCGATGATGATTGAAGAGGGTCTCAAAACGGAAGAGCAATACTACAACACCCAACAACCTCCCCATACCTCCGTCGATTTCTACAACAACGGTTACGATTATTACGGCAACTCCATCAGACCTAACAAGTTGCATTACAATAACAATAGCATGTACGAGTGCCTGTAACATGTAAATTCTGTCGCATTATGCGTGCCTGATTGATGATGTACACCATCACGAGTCTGAATTGAACGAGTCTAGTCGATTATATTTAGTAATATTGAAAACGAGTTTTGCCTTCTCACAACGTGCTTTCGTATATGATATATAAATGTATAGATTATATTTACATCGTGCAGATCTATTTTCTAACAATTGCAATTTATATAAGATTATATATTTTTTATTATGGATTTTGTAAATACGATATGGAATATGAGGAAATAAAGTTATATTTTATGAAAATTAAAATGTCTCGTTATTTTATTACAAAAAAAGAACAATCAATCAATCCTTATTATTTAACCTGAAAAAGAAAGAATGCAAAGAAATATATATGTTTTTCTTTCTTTCAGTAATTCGATATTAAAACAAACAAAAAATCAATCTACACTTTTGTTTATTAATTTTCTTACCCCCGAATTTTAATTTTAAATAAAAAATAAATAATTATACTTAATATAAAATTATGTTATTTCTATAAGTAATAATTGAGTTTGCTGAAACTGAACTGAAATAATGTAAAATTATGTTATTTCTATTAGTAATAATTGAGTTTGCTGAAACTGAACTGAAATTTCGCTCATTTCACCAATATTTTGGATTATAAATTAATTATATATAGAAATTGAACTTGCGAAATTTACTTACGAAAATGGTTTTAATAATATTGATTTAATTATAAAATAAAGTTCAATAATATAAAATTAGTTTTCTCATCTAAAAATTGAAAATATCTTTAATATTGATAATTCAATTGCATTTATGAACAAAACATAATAAAAATATTTAGTGAAACCATAGATTTATATTTATATTAAGAAAATATATAAAAATGTAACGTATTTGTAAAATGTTTATCAATATTTAATAATTTGTATCTCCAGTGTTAATAATAACTTTGTAAAATGTGTTTCAAATTGTGTTTCAAATAATCAACACAATTACTAAATATAATAAATATTGTTATACCTACTCTTATAATTTGCTATTTCACGTACGTATCATTGATAATATAGAAAGTAAGTTCTTTTTTTTTTTAAATGAAATTGGAGACATATGTTTAAAGGGTTGAAATATTGGTTATTGATTTGTATCAATTCGTGAAATTGGACGCAATGGAGTGTCGAAAACGGCCATAAATATTTAATTAATCGGTTTTACTACATCGGATCCCGTTGCTCGTGACCAATCGCATACAAATACACTCAGATCGGCGGAAACAAAAAAAAAAGGCAACCCTTTCCGCAATTCTTTTATTTTCCACGCACAACCAGCGCGATTTTTTTTACACACACACACGTCGAATTTTATTTATTACCAATGACACACCTCTTCCCCAACTTTTCCGCTCAGAATCTCTGCACAAAAACGAACCCCTTTTTTTTTCTCGCTTTTCATGGTTTACCGTATTACTGAACACATTTGTTTCCGTGGGGTAAGATATAAAAAACAACGAAAAAAACGGTACCGGAAATTATTTTTTTTCCAGTCACATCTGGATCTCAATGTTAACTCAATTATTCCGCGATTTGTAATATTTCTTTCTACTTCAAATATGTAATTTTTATAAAAAAAAAGAGTAATAATACAGATTCGTTCTTAAAACTTATAATAATAAATTAGAAATTGCGTAACACGAAAGTTATCTTAGGTATCTTATCACGAAGGATTCGCGCTCTCATTAAGAACTGCGATTGCGTGGAGATTTGTTAATTACACTCGGTGATGCAAGATGTAGTGAGTTTTTTTGTAGGAGAGGCAATAAACTAATATTGATCAATTGTTGCGAAGCTGGTGGTGTTCAGAGTCGATTTGACTGATTGATGATGAACGAAGGCTGCTTGTGTAATTTAATTAAACCAGTTGCTATCTATGGTATTTGCTTAGGTGACAGGTAGCTGTAATAATATTATTATTATTAAAACGAAGCAATAATCTATCGTTTGTATTTTTTTATTCTTCCAATATTTATTCACGTGGCTTTGGACAAGCGGAGAGGTAGTCCCATGCGTATGCACAATAACAGCATGTTTAATAAATCCCATTATTTATATAATTTGAATCAACTATTTACAAATCACTTGTACGTTTCACTTGTCACCAGATAAGATAGATGATAAAATAGGAACAAAAAAAAAATGTGCGTGTGTTTCGTGGGTGTACGAAAATGGAAGCCATTTTCTATCAGGCATATTATTAGTCCATTCATTTACCTCTCCTCATCTGCGATTTCCAACAAAATACGTATATTTTTAGTTGTCCAAAAACATTTATTGTCTGCGTTACAAAAGTAACATTTCCAATTTCAAAAAATCAATTAGTTTTGACACGTATTTAATTAAAAGTAACTCTAGAGGTAAGCAATTCAAAGATACAATAACCAACAAGAATATACAAATGTGAACATATTCAATAACAAAATCAAATAAAAAATGTTAATTACAAGATTATTATGAACTTTTTGTATACAAATTTACATGAAACGATGATTTTTTTTATTATTGAAATGCTGTGTAAGGCTTTAAGCTACTTCCTTTGAGATCCAGATCCAAGAACTAAACATGAATCTAATTTTTCTACATTTTATGAACATGTATCATAAACATTTTGAAAAATTCATTATTCCTTGTTTATTATAATGCAATTAAAGAAACAAAAATATCAAATATTACCTCAAGAGTAATAGAAATATAAAACCACAAGGAAAACTCACTAATAATATACTAAATTATACAAAAGAAATGATCTAAAATTATATTATTTGCAATACGTGCATGTATTTTAACTATTTTATCGTTTGAAGAAAAAAAGTAATTATGTAATACTAATACTAATTATCCTACACTAATTCTAAAACTTAATATTTATAACATTTGAAGTTTAAAATATTGACAATTTAGTTCGTTTTTACAAAAAAAATCATTTTCAAATCAATTATATTCGCAATATTATTATATTTAATTTCAAAACTATTTCAAGAATGTGAAATACTTGTTATTTGTTAACTATCTTTTTTTATAATTTTCTAATGCATACATGTAAATCTTCACTTGAGTAATTGAATTAAGATTTAATTTTTAGGCGAAAGAATCTATTCAACATAAAATGATGCATTATTTAGGTAAATTAGGCATTTAGGCGAATTGAATCATTCGATATTTTATAAGTAAACATAGAATTTTCGTTGGAAATTGATAAATAATTGATAAATAAATCATTGTTCAGATAATTTTCATAAAAACTCGTATTTTCATGAATTTTCAACTAATGTTTTTAAATAATGTTAGAAAATAGATCAATTTAAATGATTTTCAACTTTTCTACAAAACTTTATTATTTTAATATATATATTTAAAACAAACTTAAGAAATTGTACTTACATGATTATATTTTAGTTTTCTTAACATTTCTTAAAGAAATTCATTGAATCCAATAACTAAGGGATTAATATCTGAACCTTGACTTATTTTTTTATTACTAATACTTAACTACTAAAGTTGAGATCAAAACTATTAGCGTACTTAGAAACTCAAAACTTTAAGACAAAAACATCTTCCAAAAAAATCTTCGTCACAATTACATTTGGATAAAATTGGACAAATCGATTAAGAAAATAACATGACATAGTTAATATAGATTAAGTAATATAGATTTTGTTTATTTAAAAAAAGATGCACGAATCAATGTCAAGTTTGATTTGAACATCTTGAATTATACTTAAGTCATAATTAATTCTTATATTGTCAATGGTTACAGCAGTGGTTCCCAAATGATCGAGAACTTAACATTCTAACGATATTCTATAATGTGATCAAGGATACGAGAATGTTGGGAATCTCAGGTCTACAGTATTTAGATCGATTATTTTAAATTTTTTATTTAAAAATATAAGAACAATGGAGCGTAGATTGTAGAATGAGAGTGGCTCGCTATAAAGTAAATATAAAGGAAGAAAAAAAAGTTGGGGCACTCAATTTGATGGATAGCGAACGAGGAACATTTAGCTAGACAATAGGTGGTAGTTTGTGTAGCGGTGCATTGTAAACAGTAAAGAGCTTATAAATAATAAAAGTTTAGTAAATGCGCGCATCCACCCCTCGCAGGCATCAGAGAAATGTCCGGGGGTTGCCCTCCGGCGAAAGCTGTGATAATCCCTCGTATGGGGTGGATTAAATCCATTGTCCCGCCACTAACTGCATAACATACATAACCAAATATCTGTAAGAAATGCCCCGGAGACTCAACCTAACGATCGACGTCATCGTTCCTGAGCTTTTCACCCTCTCGCAATAACAACAAAAAAAAGAAAACTTTATCGGCAATGAATTTCGTATATTGTTTTTGTAGGCCAGTTGGTCAAGCGCGCGCGATCGATCCCTTCTCAGAACGCGTATTAATTATAGCTGCTTCTCTGTTTACATCGTGCGCTTTGTTGATGTTCATTTCTAATTATGATTAAATGGGTTCTATGCCCAGCGATGCGGACGAGCTACAAAAACAAATATTCAGAATGGATTTTGAATGGGTAAAAATCTGCGCCAGATTAACAGGTGCGCGTTGAAACCGTTCCAACCCCACGTGAACTGCCTGCACCAACCCCCTTTTTCCTCATTGACTCTGGCCCACTACAGAAATATAACATTTTTTCAAGTAGAACCTTTACCTTTCACTCACCGTCAATGCATTCACATAGAATAAAACTGTACTTTTCTATTCAATATATAAACATGTAAAAAAATTAAGTTATCCAACTTAATTACGTAAAAAGTATAATAATTTATTAGTTTATAAAGTTATACAAAAAAAAAATAAATAAATGTAACATTTTCAAAAGTATTTTTTTATAATATTCTCAATGTTTGCTTCTAGTTTTCTGTTGAAAAATAAAAAGTTCAAACACACGCGCGCACACACACATCTATATATATATAAATATATATATTTGCTATGAGTGTTTTTAGTATCCGGCCCTGTAGATCGCGCACCCCCCCTGAAAGGTTCATTGTAAGGGTAGTTCTGGTCGACTGATCAAGCCAGCTGCACTGTGATTTATATCGCAGGTTGTCGCGTGCATTTAGCAACCCTCCCCGTTCATGCTACGGCCCTTCTGAACACAAGAAAAGGCAATGGCACCGCCGCCGCCACCGTGAAATCAGGACCATTCGAACTAAATAGTTACGCTTGTTACTGCAACATTACCGTTTAGTAAATATGTACTTTTCTATATATGCGTGTAAATTGCCTCTGTCGATTTTACTTATTCCACCATAATTTGCACGACGATAACTTAATACACATATTTTGTGTAAATGGACGACATTTATCTCATACGTTTAATTGAATAGCGTTGGATTTGGTAAAATCGTTCAATATTGTAAATTCTATACGATCATTTCAATCTACAAAATTCATATTATTCTTAAAAGTTTAACATGATTTAATTTATGTTTATGTGCATAAAATAATTATATGAAATTGTTGTTAACCTTAAGATATTTAATTAAATAAATAAAAAGGTTTATTACAACATTGACAGAAAGTAAACATAAATATTTACGTTTGCATAATTCAAATTATAACAAAATAAAATGAAAATTTACCGTTATAAAACGGACGGACAGCCTAAAAAAATCATATTTGTGCATAATTAAATCGATTTTCTATTGATTTCGCTTACTTCTGAAATTATGTTTTATACATTATGAAATTAAATTCAATTATATTTATGTAATAGTTACAAAGAAACCTATCTGCTTGTATTGTTTCATAATTTAAGTTGTAACTAATTTCGCCGTCATGTCTAGGATATTCTATATATTTATATATATCGCTGTAAATGCGAAATGACATAACCGTATACTGAAATTAAACGGAATTTTTAACTAAACCGTAATTGTAACCGGAACGAAAAATTGCTTAATTGTAAAACCGAAACGAAATTTCAATCACGGTTAATTTCGGTTCAATTTGGTCAGTCTATTATGAATAGAGTATATAAACAAATATAAATTTATAAGAGACATCGATGAAGTTTCTTTGAATACTCCAAATTCTTTTTTCAAACAAAAAAATATATAATAAACATCTATATAAATAAAGCGACAAAATAGAGAAAATTTGAAGAAGAAATTGCAAGCACAAGTCTTGCACAAATAACATTAGAACAAACTCAAAAGAAAGTGATTAAAAAGGATATTACTGTAAACATGACTGAAGAAACATTACAAAGTGCATGTGTTGAACTAGTCACTAATTAATTTTTATTTCTTTTGTATTTTAAATTTTATAATTGAAAACAATAGTAAAAATGAAATTTGGTAAATAAAATTAAATCAAAATTTGATATTTTAACTAATCAATTTAAATTGTTTTTTTTTTTTCGATTTTAAATTTTAATTTCAACCGGAACTGAACCGAAATTTTTAAACGAACCGAAACCGTATCTGGAACGTAACCGTAAACCGGAACGAAATTAATTTAGGTTAGACTCTCTGTTTACTACCGGTATCATTTCAGGATTTGATGTAAATTTCTTTTCGACCATTGAAATTTTTCACTTTCTAATTAGGTGATGCAAAACATCGTCTTTGTCTTCTTTCACAAAATTTAAAAATTCTCTTTTAAACTTCAGTTTCAATTTCATACTGTACTTATTATTTATTATTATTTTCTTAAATAAATGTGTTCGTAGCAAAATAAATACTGCAGTTCCGATTTCAAAATGAAATAGTCTTCATGATGCAAACATGCAACAACTATTTTTAGATTTTTACTAGAGTCTTTCTGATCTATTCAATATGTGCTAATATTAGATAAGTTTTCAAATCCACTTCTTCCACCAGCACATTGAATAATCATTTGTTAAATCTGTTATATTTATGAAAAGATCTTTTGTTATTTTAAACCGATTATACGTCTATTATAACTTGCACAGTAAATTATTCAGCGTATATCAAATGATAATCAAATAATGTGTCCATTAGCTATTAGTAGCAGATAATTGTTGGTGTTAGGCTCGAAGGCACGTGCGGTCTTCGCCGGCGCACGCGACTCTTCATCCGGCAGTTTATCTGATATCCATATTTCACAGATGAGAGGAGGCGCACACGGAAAGCGAACACACAAAGCGACTAAAGCCTTTTGGAATTACCAAACAGTAACTAGCGGCACGTGCCAAAACAAACATTATCGCGACTGGTTTCACTTACAAGTACCCGAGTGTGTCACCACAAGTGGTTATTTAACACCTCGCCTCAAAAGCACAAAGCAGCGTAAACATAAATAAAGCAAGTATTCAATATAATCGGAAGCATAGGAAAACTAGTGGGATCATTTTTTAATATAGTTTCTCATGGGAAATTAGGAACTAATATTTATTTCGCACATCTGCTTGTATTATTGCATACGCTAATATATCAACACAACTAATGTTGATTTTCTTTTTATACTTTGAAGCATAGAACTTTAGTTTACGAAAAAAGTAAATAGTCCGAAGTATTAACTATTCTATACCGTTTTAACACGAACAAATTTATCAGTTTTTCGCTTCTAAAAGTATAATTTTATAATTTCTACAAGGGAAAGTGTTTGATAAGAAAAGTGAAGTGTATGTATGTTTATATTCATGAAGCCTATATAGTAATCTCAGTTTAAGTAAATATTTTAGAGAAGACATTTATGTGAAATATAAAGAAAAGTTTGATTAAAAATATAAATTACTATTTATATATTTTCAGATATCTGAGCTATATAGCTTTAATATATGTGATCCAGTTATTTCACTGTTTGCACATCGTTGGTCTGTTGGTCGGCGCGAGGAGAAAAACGGGAGCTCAGTAGTGTAATAGAATATTCTTATACAGGAGTCGAACTAGATGGATGGACAGATGGCCATAAAACGAATTGAATTATTCAAAGGGAGTAAATAATTGGCACAGAGGGGTAAACTGGTGGTCTGTAGACGCCTTCGGCCCTTTGTGCAGCTGTAGACGTGTATATGTGTTCCGCACATAATCTATATTTGCTTTGCGAACGTAAAACAACACTTGACTAATATGAATATTTGATTACTAGTACCTATTACATAGCAAACATCGAAACCAAATCTGCCCAAAACACGCACCAAATCAATTATTCACAAGGAAAAATCCAAAGTAAAGAAGCATACATAAAAGAAAAACGTTACTCACGTTATTCATTGAACGCGTTAAAGCATGAAAATGAATAATTAACAATAATTGACGCACTGGACCCATTTTTTACGCAGCCCGCAATGAGGATTAAACACGGATTTCTGGCCGCAAAAAAAAATTGCCATATTTTCGGAAACGATATTTTTCCCCTAAATGTGCCAAAGCTTTAAGCGAACAATTGGAGGATTTACAATATTTCCATGCGTTTTCATTTACGTAATACCCAACTGTTACCAAACATAAATCATCCAGATTAAACGCGCGCACTGTTACGAAGGAGCTGAAAATATTTGTAATTCAAGATTGGAACCCTGTTTTTGTGTTTAGATTTTACCGGTTGTTTGCGATTTGGCGTGAGCCCTAAACAAATATGAGTCGTGGCTAATAATGTAGTGCACACTTCATTATGAATATGTGTGGCACGTATTCAGGAAGCTACGCTACGCTCCGTGCAGTGAAAGGGTGTCAGTTGGAACCATTAATCAGATCTTTTATTGTCACCAATTGTCCGCCCCTTTTTTGGAAAGGGTTGCTGCGCCGAGGAGTGCCCTCGTGTGGCCGTGCAAATCTCGCGGACGTTTCGAACGACCACCGAAAAATCAGCTGTGATTTTAATGATTTAAAATAATAAATGATAGTAACAAAAAAAACACCCCTAGTTATATGACAGAATAAAAAAAATTAAAATGGTATTCAAATTTAAAAAAAAGTAATGATATAACGTAACAAAACTATTAGTTCATGATAAGACGATGAGAGTTGAAGAAAAACACAATTATTTATAAATTTTATACTAGTAATTGGCTAAAAGAAATATAAATTTAGGTAAAAAAAGGACATATCCGCAGTCTTTTCGTCTTGGAAATAATATCTGTGAACCGATTAGAGAAAAAGAATCCAAAAATTATTCTGATTTAGAAAGAAGTCTTATTGTTGAGTGATCAAAGAAATCACATCGTATTGTTTTATAACACTAAATCAAGTTATAGAATGATAAAAAAAAATAAACATTAGATTTAGATATGGCACAAATATATGTAGATTTATCTTGCGCATTTGCCAATTGCCATAGCAAAATTTAGCGTAAAGTAAACAAATTTATTAACTAATATTCATTCGTAATCATCTCAAATTTACGGGACGATTTTTAGAAAAGAATATTTCAGACCATAAAACGCATTCTAATAAATCTATTTTTTATATGTAAATGTTTCTTATTATCATATTTTGAAAATTTAGATATACAGTTTAAATCTATGTAGTTGTGTGAGTTAAAAATGAAGTTTATTGAAGTAGTTTAACATTCACAAATTGAGTTTTTTCAATGATCGAAATTGTAGTTTATATACTTCATAAAATTAAGCAACTATAATGTAATGTAGGCAACCAAACGAGCGAATTCCACGTCTTATTAAATCAATAGATAGCTATTCGATATATTTATTTGATCATAAACAACAAATCTAAATATATACATTTTATACAGACGTATATTTTCTAAAATATTCGAGACTTGTACAAGCATGTTTTTTTATACGCATTATTACATTAATAGTAAGGAATAAACGTAAGAGCAAATCATTGACCAATGGATAAGCAAATCTTATGTTAAAGATTATTAAAATATAAGACTCAAATTTTCAAAATCACATAACGATAATCCAAAGAAAAATACATTTCAGATGATTCTTGAAAATATAAATGACACACCTTTCATACCCCCATTACTTAAAAACAACATTAGAGACAAAGATCAATGATTTTCGTGGGGTTAAAGCTAACGTTATAAAAAAATTATCATTGAAATTAAAAAAATATTATGCATATTTTTTTTAAATCATTACGCTAAACTGCAGTAACCGCTGCAATTTGCTGACCCGTGCTCCTTTTCTTCCCCTATGTGAATTCCACCACCATAAGAATCCCATAGACCAGGAGTTTGAATAATCTAAAAGGATGTAAATTAATTTTTTCATAAAAATATATCAATTTGTATACCTTATGAACTAATTCTTCAAAAGCGGATTGAACTCCATCTTTAGTTTTAGCGCTTGCTTCTATAAATAAAGTCTGGTGTCTTCTAGCAAACTTCAAGCCATCTTCTCTGCTCACTTCTCTATTCTCCTAAAATACATAGCTTTGCAAGGGATGTACTATTAATAAATTATCCAAACTTACCACATCTATTTTGTTCCCAACAATCATTTTAACAATGTTACTCTTCGTAGAATATGTTTCCAATTCATTCAACCAATTTCCTAGTTTCGAGAAACTAGCTGCACTGCTTACATCGTACACCAAGATTGCTCCTTGTGCATCCCTATAATATGATGGTGTTAATGTTCTGAACCGTTCCTGTCCGGCAGTATCCCAGATAGCCAATTTTATTGCACTTCCATCCACATCCATTCGCTTAGTCTTGAAATCAACACCTATGGTTAAGGTCTGCTCAGGATCAAAGTTATCATCAGTGAAACGTAGCAGCAGACTTAAAAAGAAAAGAACAACTCTGATTTCTGATTAATTATACATTGAAATTAACTCACCTAGATTTTCCAACGCCACTTTCCCCAATTATTAAGAGTTTCAGAGTTGTTAAGATGTTTTCTTCCATTGTGTAAATGCGTAATTTGTTGATATAATGACGAAACCTTGAAATTTTGTAACAGTCACTTCTGTTAGTTATACAGCACAATTTTTACTATTTATTGTTACAAGTGAATAATGTCTCTTCGTTTCTCCAGTTTATAGGAAAAGTTAATAGTAATATTATTTTGATATCTGCCTTGGCCCTTTAATTTGATTCTCTTTGACAATTACTGACAATTTACGTCATTGGTTGGCTGACCTGACCCAACCTGACCCGATCTTATTGAATATTTATGTTTTTCTTGTAGATTTTTCTGATTACAATTTTAGATTCAAGTTTAAAATTACTATTTAAAGATTGATTGCTCTCGTCATTGGATATGTCCATATAAAAATTTGAAGATATCAATAATTTTGAATGGTTACGCGGCTGACTTCATTTGTATTATTAATTGAAGGTTAACATAGTGCCAATATAGTGCAGAAAAGTAAGGCAAATTGTGCAGAATAGTGAATGCATCGTGGATGATCAATTGATTTTCTTTGAAATGGCTCCGCATAATCACGGAAACAGTTGTGAGGGAGATCACGATCACGATGAAACCCCTGAAATGGGTTTACAGTACAGCCTGTACGCGAAAATCGACAAGGACAACTTGGTTTGTTTGAACGAGGTTTCCGAAGGTTCCGGTAAACTCGTCTTCAAACCGTGGGAGGATAGGTTGAATTTCGAGGCGGTACGTTAATTCTCTCTATAGTTTATATAGACTCTCTAATAATCATAGAGAATAGTTTGTAGAATCTGATGCTGATGAAGAATTGCTCTTTAATATTCCTTTCACTGGTAACATAAAGTTGAAAGGTATTATTCTTGTTGGTGGTGAAGATGACTCACATCCAGCCAAGATGAGACTGTAATTGTTTTTAAATAATTTGAGAGAGAGGTAGATTTTGAATGTATACAATTGTAGATTCAAAAACAGACCACAGATGAATTTTGATGATATTGCTTGTGTTGCTGATCAAGAATTTGAATTGCACCATGACACCAATGGGACATTGGAATATTCAACTAAGTAAGTGATTTTCAATGATCTAACATTCTATACCTATTATTACTACATTTTTGAGTATTTAGTGCTTAGTTGTGACTTCAGTAATAACACATTGTCAAGTATGTCACATTTTGAAGTTTGTCAAATATGTGTAAAAACAAATTCATAGCTTCTGGTAAAAAAAGCAGATCTGATTTTTTGGTGAGTTACCAACAATAAGAGTATGCAACTTATTCACCAGAAATACAGTTATAAATCTATCTATAACTGAGATACATTTGAATATTAACACTACAAAATAAACCGGTGGCAATCGCAATCCCGACAACCGAAATCCCGAGTGTATCGAAATCCCGACTATATCGAAATCCCAACAGTGTCTTTTATTATTATAAATTTCTACAATAACATTTTTATGGTAGTCGGGATTTCGATATAGTCGGGATTTTGATACAGTCGGGATTTTAATACAGTCGGTAACATAAACATATCAGTAATTAATAGATTTTTGCAAAACGCAAATTATGATATGTATAAACATAATATGATAATATAATTTGTGCACGCACCACAGGTTGGCGACCGCTGATTTAGAATATAGTGGAACCTCGCTTAACGAACAAAATGAATTATAAGAATAATGTCTCGCTTAACGAGCAACGTTTCGCATAACGAGTGATGATGAGAAGAGAAGTCCCGAATTGTACGCATGCTACAACATTTTTAAAACTTGAGTACACATATTGTGTGTATTTTTGAATATGTTTCACTATATGAGTAATAATCCGGAAATTTTGGAACGGTTTAAACTCGTTAAGTATATTGTTAAATGTTGTTGTTATTGCTTTCAGGGTTGTTACATTCAACACTGTTCATCATTTGACTATCCATATTCCAAGCAATTTTGGGGCCGATCAAACCAAGATTTACTACATTGGATTGAGAGGCGAATTCACTGAGGCTCATAGACATGGCGTGACTATTTGCACATACGAATCGTCTCCGAACATGTCCGACCACAAGAATCCCTTGACCGACAGCGTTAACCAGCAAATACAATAGATAAATTGTCTTTCTATATTACCATTAAGTTATTACACCTGCTATTAAATTGAATTAACTATATTAACTAATAGATGCAAAGAGATGTTGTAGAGAAAGCTTAGTTACAAATTTAATGTGCCAAAGAAAGATAACTGCTTTAGAAAACTATATCATATCACGAATGTAGTGAATTGTTGAACGTATTCCTATGTTTTTAAGTATAAAAATGATATTTTATGAAAGCTATATTTTTATCTTACAAAAAAAAATATTGAATATCCTATAAATTACTTATATTATTTTTGTACTTATATTTCTTTATTTAATGTGTTTTGAATAATAATTACAACTTACTGGTAAAGTATTTAGTTATCTTATTTTAACTGTTGTGTAGTAGTCATTGTCAGAGTTAAGCAACATATAAATGACATACGCCAACTCGGGACAAATGTAATGATACTCTATGAAAACGGAGGAAATTTTCAATAAAAACAAGAACAAAAAAACAATTCTTCCACTTTTCGTTCTAATTTTGTTGTATGATTCATTTGTCAAATTTGAGGCTAGACTTAAACGTAGTTTTCTCATACTTGCTATAGTTTTGGGTCTTCCTTTTATAGATTTTGGAACCAAATTAAAATATTAGGTTTCGGGTCTGAATTAGATGGTTTTGAACTTTTGCTGATGACTTTGTATTCGCAATATTTTATTGTTATTTAATAGTAAACATGGACAATATTGCATACGTCTATTTATTAACAATTTAAATTATATTTGTGACAATTATTATTACGTATTTATATAAGCATAAATATTTGAGAAGACGAATATTGAAAATATCAATACCACAAGTTAGTAAAACATTATAAAATAACTGTTTCATTCACATCGTTGTAAACTTTAGAAACAATACGCAATATTTTTTTGTAAAATTTTGTTTACCAATGGTTTATAAATAATTGAGGATGTAACAACATGTGTTCGTAAATAGTTTGTTTGCAAAGGAACTTGCCAGGATTAGGATTAATACTTTATTTAGCCGTTTATAAAATATAAATGTCGTTTAATGCAATGAACATTCAAGTTGCAGCATTTCCTGGCAACCATTAAAGTGAAGGTAAATTATGTAGCGTAATAAAATAAAAAAAAAGTATTACAGTTCACGACGCCGTGTGTTTTGATAACAATATATTTGTACTAAAAATAACAATTGACTTTATACAAGTTAATACATATTAGACAAAAATAGTAGATTTTGTGGGTACGTCGAAAGAATAATACAGTAAATAAACTTAATAATAAAATAAACTTAGTAAATGTAGAATATATATATATATAAAAATAAAATATAAAAGATCATGTGTTCCGCTTCAAAACAAAATACGACAGAAAAGAAAGATACATACAGGTTCATAAATTGCATCTACTTCATACATCCAATACATTAATGATATTTGCTTATTTATTTATTTATTATATATCTTATAGACACGTAAAATACATTAATGTTATATAAATTTATATAAATAATTTGCAAAACCTATGTATATTTTTTTTTTAACTTTATGACACATACACATTCATATCTCAGTCATTTTAGTTTAAATTTAATTCAGAGCATCCGCGAATTCCTCAAATGATATGCTTAAAATGTTAAATATATATATATATATACTAGATGGACAAAGATAAGCTACGCTCGACATTGTTAGATTAAAACACACAATTGCACATTTATAGTTAGTTACGTTTATTTCTTTTGTATCTACATAAGGAATTCGACACGATCGATTCGAAAATCGGGACCGAGGAGTCGTGTTTCCCACACACAAATTTTCATTTTCAAGCATTCAATAGATTTCATGATATGGATGGATGCGCGCATTCGTCATAACTGCAAATCAATGGAGACAGATAGACAGAGAGATACGCTATTTATTTATTTTATTCTTATGGAGTTGGCGTCGGAGTTGGTTGTAGACTCTGGGACATCTGTGGTATCGTTCTTGAATTCGGCGTCGGCGAAGAGGACATCCGGCAAGGAACCACCGGTCTCGGTTAATTCTTCAGGCACGGCTTCAACTTCCTTCGTGGTGAATTTCTGTGCGACGGTTGTTGTTGCTAGAACTGGTGTAGTCGTTTCCAAAGGTGCTGCCTTGGTCAGTGATAGGAATTCGGTGTTTGCGAATAAAACTTTATCGATGTAGAACATCGTTCCCAAGTTGTATACGAAAACTTCGCTCTCGACAATGTCTGCCTTGTTTATGGTAACGTTCTCTATAAAGTACGAAATAGAAAGAAAAAGGCCATAGAAAAAGAAAACAGAAGTAAATTAATAAATTGGTCGGAATTGCGTTCGTCTTCTTCGGCCAATGGATTAAATCCGTGCACACAAAAGCGAATCAATTTTAATTGAATAATGTTTAATAACAATCAAGGTCGGTAGTGGAAATTGCGGTGTTGGTTTCGAGTAGTTCTTGTCGCTCCGGCCCGAGCGCGAAGCCGCAATCCAATTTATCTTTGCTCGCGGTTACTATATTATGACGCGTACCGTGTAAACACTAGCTTCCTACTAATTACACTTTGAACTAGTTCAAAAACTGGAATTATAATGAAACACACCTCGTCGCCATGTGTTTCTACCAGTTCTATCTTAAACCACACGTACCTACTACTGTTCTCATCCTAATTTCATAAATATTTGATTCCAAACAACGGCTTATCTTAAATATTAAACGAATTACTTGATTCCGGTGAAACAAAACATTTCTTTAAAGTAATTAATGTGAAAACTTTAATTATTATTTTGCACGAGATTCGCTCGAACTTAATAAACATTAAATAAAGAAACCGTAAGCTTGAAAAATGACGAAAAGCTAATTAAGTAGCACGGAATGAGATTCTTCGGTCGGATGCGGGAAGGCGAGGACGAGAAGAAGAAAATGAAGGAAAAAAAAACGAAAACAACAAAGATAAATGAGACGGGGGGGTTGACCAAGATTGAGAATGGACGCAAGAATGCGGCTGGGAATTCGACCGCTAATTATATTTTCTGCACTCACCTTTCGATCTTCTCACGTGGATCGTTTTGTTGCCCAAAGTCGTAAGTGTGGTATTGTCCTTGAGGTCGCGATCGTACAATCGTCCTTTAACGAAGTGATTCAACAGGATTTCCAAACCCTCGCCGGTGGATAGATAATTATCGGGCATCTTGTCCAGACCGAGTTCCTCGAAAGCGGTGTCCGTCGGAACGAAGAAAGTGTAGCCTGTACCAGAGACGTGAGGAGCTAAATCTGCCAAGTTAAGGAAGCGGGTTATGTGAGAGAATCTTCTGTCCCGTTCTAGGGCCAAGAAGGCGTGGGATAAGAATTGGGCTCCGAACCATGGGAAGGCCAGCAACGGTGGCGTTTCTTTATCTCTATGTTGCTGGTGAAGTCTCGAGACCACAGATTCACTGACGAAGAGGACTTCGCTAATAAACATAATGTTTCCTTTGGGTAATGGAGTGTCCCCTTTAACGACGGATGCACCATTCACGGTGAGATTCGCTAAAGAAATTGTTATAGAATTAAAAAGTTATCTCTCTGCAGCGAACCGTAATAAAAGTAATGCAGGGGAACGACGTAAAAGTAGAACTTGTTCTTTATGAAATAAAGGGAATACCTACGAGCCTTCTTGAAGACGACCTCGCGTCCGCCCAAAGTTTTCGCCACATGTCCTGATTTAATGTTGTCCTGTTTCAGGTTTCCTTTGACGAAGTGGTTTATTATCACGCTTTCGGTGAACTCGGGAACACTGAACGGGTAAAATCCCCAGTCTATTGGGTGCCACCTCTGGAATGCATGATCAGTTGGCACGAATACCGTGTATTCTTCATCTGGAATAAACACGACAACAAAACATAAAACCTTGCCACAAACAAACAAACAAATCTACTTGACAAACTTTTGTTAATTAATTATCGATTTTGTCGATATCATATTTTGATTCGTAAAGGGTGCTTGACCGGACTGACATAAATTTAATTAATTTAGACGCAATTATAACCCTTGTACATTCACACAATCGTGATAGATGTATAAACATCACGCTGATGGCAAAATAAATTCATCCCATTTGATGTAAAGTAATGAAAATGAGGGAATAAAAAAATTGTATGAAAAACGAGCAGAGCGTTATTTTTTTTTAGGGATCGCGTAACAAAATGTACTGTTATAAAAGTGACTTCTGAATCGATAAACAGGGAGTTTTCGAGTCTCAGCGGGGAAAAGAATTATGTAAAGTAATAACACTCCCCTGCAAACTTAATGTACATTACTGCTACGATGTTTATCGTAATAATAATATGTTGAATCCAAGCATTTAGCGGAACAAGGAAAATGCGAAAAACGCTTATATCCAGTAAACGTGCATAAAACGCATTTTATCCAGGTGAATTGTGTAACATTATTATTCACTTTCATGCCAGGAAAAATAAAACAAATTTATTCGCTTTACCGTTTGTACAATTCCCAAATGACTTTTGTCAAATCTGCTTGTCCTTATTTCATAATCATTTAACTTATATGTTTATGATTTTTAGTATTAGAAAGTATTTCAATTAATTAATATTCACTTAATATAAATTATGAAATGAGAAAATGAAGTGATTAATTATCGTTTCCTTGTAGTTTGAAGAAAATTTATATCTTTAACAAATTGAGGAGTGTTATAGCCATAATCATAAAATTTATGAGGGAAATTTATTGGAATTAATATGAACGCATAGATAAAGGGTGAAAGGTATGCAAAACTATAAAAATGTGATATATAATTTAGAGTTTTGGGACAGGGGAATGCGTAACGGGCAGAGTGTAAAATAATAGATTCATAAATGTCAACCATATATCAGCAAGAATTGCATTCGAAACTGTGCCTGTCCGGGTTCACAATGGCGCGTGAAATGGTGAAGTATGTGAGAATGTTTGTTACCAAGCTGTCACCGGCTAAATATGTGTCGGCAAGCTTTTCCAAAAAAAATAATAAAAGGTTTATGCAAGAACCAAAAAAAAAAAAAAATGGAACGAAAAGGAACAGGTGGCGAAAACTTACCGTCAGTTAAAAGTTTGGAGACGTTCGATCTGGATAGGAAGTGTTGAAAAACGCGCACGCCGCTCTTGAGCAGCGAGAGCACTTGCATAATGTTCTCGATGAAAGTGGCATTGCTGGTCTTCGTCTTCCTCTCCTCTTTGACGTTCACTACATCGATCATACCGACGACCGAGGTTTTGGTCTTGTTTCGTTTTAATTCCAAATCATCTGGGAATAGGTAATTATCCAGGACGACGAGCAGCCCGTTCGGCCGGATCAATTTCGTTTCCAAAATGTTTGCACCGTTGGCCCTCAGCTTACCCTCCTTCGCCGGCGAAAGGGTGAACGTTCGTCCGCCCAATGTCGTCACGCTTCTCTCGCTCGTCACGTTATCCACATCCAAATGCGGCCCCAGGACAACGTGATCCATTAAAAGTTTCCTGACAAGCTCCGGATGGTGCAGCAGCCCGTCATCCTCGATGATCGCAGTATTCTTTGGCGCCAATATCGTGAAGGACTCATCTGAAAAGGATGAAATTCATTAGACCCCAGAACTTCCATTCATGAGACTCGTTCAGGAAAAAAAAAAATAAAAAAAACTTTCCAGCCCCCGCACAGAAGATTTCAATTAAGCGAAGAGAAAAAAACGAAAGATCTAGGGGAAATATTCGCAGCAGGGATTCCCTCCCTGATGGCAATAATAAAACTTTAATGCAACTTTAATGTTTCGGGCCGAAATCAAAAGATCATCGTCTTTTGATCCAGCTACCGGCGAACAAAGAACAAAAAAATAAACCGCAAGTAAAGAGATGAAAAGGAAGCACAGAAAAAAACGTCGGTCGGTTGTAATTAATTAAATCTGAATGCGTGTTTGTTTTCATAAAGCTCGAGTGGAATCTCGTGAATTTTGTTTTGAAATCCAGATTTTATTTTACCTGAATTATTTTAATTGCAGAAGATCAAACAGCTTTTATTATTGTTATGGATCCTTGTTTTCGCATTTTCTCCGGAAAACGAAACCGCATGTGAGGAGACTCTAAAATGTTGTCTATCTTATTTTGAACTTTCGTTTTTTGGCTTTTCCTCTTGCGAACGAGAGAGGAAGATAAAATGGCTGTAATATTCTTCACGAACTGTTAATATTCAGTGCAATTCGCACCCGGACAGCCCTCTCGGTTACGGAATGAAGAGAGGAGACTCGGCACAATAGGAATTACTGTGTGAGTGTGTATGCCGTTGATGTTCAACAGCCAGATCATTTTTATCGTTTCACTTAAAGGGTGAAATTGTAATTTTCTTCCACGCTCGTCTACTTCTCTCTACTTTATGTTGCACGACGTGGAACAACATAAAGTTGCCGTCGAGTATTCACTTTCATTGCGAATTACCGAGACCGATAACCTGTGATCCTGCATTTGTAATTCTCTTACATTTATTAGTGCTCCGCTCTACGTGCTCTGAACCAAGCGTTACGAATTAATGTATACTCCAATAGATTTTACATTACATTTACATTTTAATAATACTATTTCATTTTGCACGGTTTACACAACTTAAGCTATTTGGAAATTCGATATACACTCGATCCTCTTTTCATGCGGTTTTTATTTCAAGAAACATTTTTTTTAAATAACTATTTTGACACGTTTTGACACAAATTGGCAAACCATTTCATCGAAAAAGATGATAATTCTGAACGAACATTCAAGTTTCAGAATTGCATTTCTGGATATCAGGAATTGTACAAGAAAAATAGCAACTTTGACAATATAATCAGTGATTAAACTTTGCGATGGCT